ATCTTTTGCCGATCCGTCCATGTATCTGCCTGCATGTTTGTAAAATTAATACTAGCCTCCGAACGAAATGAAGAAGCTGGACAAAATTGAATTTAAATGTATTTTAGGACCGGGTCATGGGCCATAAGTGAACCTACGTTTAGGTATAGGCCCCATATAACTTTGCCGGCAGATTAATTGTGTTTTGTTTTTGTCACAATTTTAAAACAAATTTGTTATAAATTGGCAGTTTGTGCTCCCAGTAAGTAGCGGTATCCTTGCGAAGTACTGTCTATGTGGTTCCTAATTTGGGTATAGACCCCATATACCTCTACCTCCAGATATTTATTATTTTAAAGACTTACGTCATACTTTTTACCGGAGTGGTTTCAAATGTGGTATTTAGACTTCGTCGTAATGGGAGCTATCCCTCCATATTCGTATCTGCCTCATGTAACTGTACCTAACTATATTCGATATTTTGTCACGTTTTTCGACGGAATAGTTTCAAATTTGGTATTTTGTGTTCGTAATAAGTTTCACTTTCATGAAGGCCCTATAATATTTTATTTTTCTTGATTGTAGCCACATTTTTCAACGGAATTATCTTAAATTTGGCATTTGGAGTTCCCGATAGGCCATCTCTGGCAGATAATTGGCTATACAGGTGCATGTTTTCGCATAGCCACCAAATAAATGTACCACCCGGATACAACGGATTTTTTTTTTAAATTTTAAATTTATTAAAAGTTTGGCTCTGTCGTACTAAGTTGCTTTTCTACTGGTCTAATTTGTTATTCATTTTTTGTTTCTCCGGGAGTAAAACTTTCACTTTATTGAATTACAGTGTCAAATATATTTTCAATTAGGAACCCACATGTTAACCGAGTAAACCTTTACTCCATTAACTGGTTTCATTATCTCCAAAAAACCGCAACAACATGTTTTGGTCTTCGCGTATGATTGACGTCATGACGTATACGCCATATGTTTGCCACAACTGTATTATATGACCCAATAAATAAGTGATAAAATTCTTTTATCAGTCCTATATGAGTTGTAAAAAAACAACAGTAATAATAAAACTATAAACAAGTTCAAAGTTCAAGGGAGAGTGGATACATTTAATGAAGATCAAGTAAATTGTTGGTTGTGTAAAAAATGAGGATTTTCATATGTCCATGAATTATTTTTTACAGAGATTAGAGGTGGAATAGCAGATGACCCAAAAGGTTTATGATGTTAATCAAGAAACTGTTTTAATTAAATAAATTGCTAAACCGAAGCCAGTGGGCGAAGTCCAAGTAAGGACGATTAGGTAATTGGGGTAAAATACTAGAAGGTTTTGGATTTTCAGACCAAGTTTTTATGGCTCAAACGACATTGCCTGAAGGACAATAACCTCAAATATTTACAAGTACATCGATTGGAGATTGGGACTATCTTTCACGGAAAATTCACTTTCATAAAAAATATTTTCTTTATTGAAGCCTCTGCAGCAATGTTTGAGACTTTGGATCTGGTTTGTAAAACTAGTTATACATTTTTCAGAAACTTGTTCTTAAAAAAATCAATGATATAGTCTTGAAAATTGGAGTTTATTTATTTTTTCCTAAAAATTCTTAAATACATTGTCTACATGTTTTCCTAATATCGGAAGCTATGGTAGGGGAAAATTTTATATTTTCATAATCCTCTAACCTTTCCTTCGTACCTTTTTCTACTTAATTTCAAACAGTCTTCGCAAAATTCCTAATTTCAACTAAATCGAATAAAATATTGTTGTCTTGGGCGTATAATTACCGTCACAACTCATACGCCACATGTGACTTGGTTTACAAAATCATTTTATAATCAATTAATTTTTCTTTAATTATTTTGCTCTCTTTATAAAATTTTAAAATTGTCCGTATTACTCTTATGAATTTATCAAAATTATTCAAAATTTTATGTAGCCCATTACAATATTAATATTGTGCAATGACGAGAGCAATAATTCAAACCACCCTCCAGGGAATTCAATCTTGACAACATATTTGACATGGGAAGATGTGTGCAGGAAGACTAGATTGTCTTCTGTATCAAATTAAGCATAACATTGTGATAACAATGAAATTATCATTTCAACTGTGACCAAAAATGGACCGACCAACCATTGCCGGTGTCTTTTACATCATTTGTGGCAAAGGCAAATGAAATGGAAATTTTTGAAAAATCCATAGCATATAGCCATGGGCTATTACTACGGAGCGAGGGAAAATTTCTTATGATTGCCTTGGTATGTGTGGGTGTCCTTGGCTGTCTGATGTCTAAAGATTTTAAGGTTTTCTTGGAAATTTGTCTTTTTTTGTTCTCCACAAATCGAATAACAAATCAATTCGTTGCCATGTCTACATTTTAAGTAGATATCTTATATTACGTCTCACATTTTATTCATTTTTAGTGGATATTTATCTCCCCATGGTGTCAGAAATGATACTTTGAAAAGATGAAGATAAAATGTGTCGTATAAAACGTTTGGAATCGAATTTCAATAGTAAATCAAAAGGACAATACATAATTTTTTAACACAGTGAAAAAAAGGTAGTAGGCATGGGTGGCGTTTACGTTATGACATTAATCATACGCACTCAGCATAGCATTTCATGGACATAATTCTCAAATCATTTTCCAATAAAAATATACATTTTTAAGAATTTTGGTCCAATATTTCAACAGATTTTTATACCTTTACCGAACATAGTATGGAGGGTATATTAAGTTCGTCATTCCGTTTGTAACTCATCGAAATAATAATTTTAGACATAACAACGTATATATACAGGGTGAGATGAAAAAAACTGCAACCAACTTCAGACTGCTGTCATTTCTAAACAACTCGTCCGACAGCTGTTAAAATTATTGCAGTGACAGCTCATTATATTGTTTACAAGCGCACAAAAGCATTTTGGTGAGAATTTTACAGAAAAAAGTTATTCCTGATGGAATTCAAGCGTGATAGCCACAAGTGGCTATCGTTACAGCACTCCAGCATTTAAATGTGAATAAATATTTTGTGTCTCGACCATCGCTCGTTACCGCGATGCTGGTAGCGTAGCCCGACGTCAAGGAAGTGGCCGGAAGAAAACCGCAACATCAGCAGAAATGGTTCGAAAAGTAAAGAAGCGACTTGATCGAAACCCGCGTCGCAGTGGCCGAAAAATGGCTCATGAGCTGAACATATCGCAATATTCCATTCGGCAAATATTGAAAAATGAGCACGGGGTAAAGCTATTGAGATTCTAAAAAGTGCAAGAACTTACGCCGCAACTGAAAGAAAATAGACTAAAAAGTTGCTTCGCTTGGCCGAATGTGGTGAACTGCCGAAATTGGTTTTCTCTGCTCCGATGAGAAAACATTCGTTGTCCAGCAGTTTATAAACAAACAAAATGATCGTGATTACTTGCGAAAGAGGTCAGCTGAAAATTTGCACCTTCGGTTGGCCACCAGAACTCAAGCGCCGGGTATGGTGTGGGCCGCCATAACAGCCGATGGTCGCTCTATTAATCGACATTGACATCAGAATAAATGTCGGATATTATCGCGAAAATATTCTGGAGAGTGTTAGAGCCTTGGGCACGCAAACATTTTGACCGCAGACCTTGGTCATTCCAAGAGCACTCGCACCATCGCACTCAGCACGCGCCACCCAAGAATGGTTACAAAATGAGGTTCCTCGCACAATGGCCACCAAAATCTCCGGATACCAATCCGTTGGACTGGATTTTTTTTTTGGAAAGCAAGGTTGGCACTAAAAAAATACCAAAGTGTCGAAATACCGCACAGAAACTTTCGGGTAGATTGTGACGATTGTGACGATTGGTGGTTTGAAGGTAATAATAATAATTCGTGCGAAATGTGGCCAATTCGAACAAATCTAAACTTATTCTAAAATTTGATGCTATTTCCGAATTTTTTTGTTTCCATTCAATAAAATTTAATAAATGTAAAAATTATGGCGTTTAACTTTGTTGCAGTTTTTTTCTCACCCTGTATCAGTACCTCCCTATATTCGGTATTTTGAAGATTTTTGCCACATTTTTCACCGTCATTCAGGTTTCTTATTTAAATATTGTAATGGCTTTTGAAAGAAGTTGCCTATGCTGATCTACGTCTTCGTATAGACCCCAATATAAGGGATATTTTATATTTTTATTAATTAATTATTATTTTTTTTTTTAATTTCCAAATTCGTTCCAAATGGTGGAGGGGTTTCAAAGTTCGGGCCGGAGAAACTTGCTACCTTTTTACTTGTTCTTTAAAAAAAACTCCTAAAAATAACTTGTGGGCCAATTCGGCGTATACGGCGTATACAATAATCATACGCTCCCTAGTTCTCACAGCCAACCCACTCTCACCAGAGACATTTCATTTCGCCCTTTAAGATATTTTTGCAATATTTGTCTATGAGTTTTACCTTAGCACAATTTAAGATCTTTCAACAATGGCATTCATTCCATAATAAAAAATAAAACCAACATGCATAATAAAATCATAGGATTTTCTATTCAAACTTTCGAAAATTGAATTGGCATTTGAACACTGCAAGGTACTCTATTGTTGTCATGCTTAACTTCTAAGAATTTCAATGAATGCATTTTTTTCTTCAGAGCATAAATTTCTACGGAAAAAAAAAACTTTTAACTAAAAACTAGGTAGAACGCACACACACACAATTCATGTTGTGTCTTAGTCTTGTTTAAAAATATTCAAATACAAAAATTTGTTATTCTACAAAAAGAAAGGAGCTAAAATTTGCAAAATTCAATTGAATTTAACAGAAAAAAAAAGAAAATTGCTGATGAATTTCATTTTGCTTTGCATTTTCATCAAGAGAGAAATTTTGCTTTGAAATAGAGACAGAGAGAGAAATGTAATAACAACGTAAAATATCTATATATACTTCATTTAATTTTATAAAAAAAAATAGAACAATATCTTACAAATGTTAGGGAGTTTTGTTTTTTTACTTATTTTTGTACCTTAACGAACAAATCGTGATGTAAATTCTAGAAAAAAACGAAAGAAAAGTCAGGAAAATAGGACGAAGAAAAAGAAAACAAGAAATGAGAAACACACGATAATTGTTGGCTCTTTTCTCATTGAGAGACAAAAAATCTCTTTGTTTGGTTTTCTTAAACATTGGTGATCAGGTGATTCATTGATTGTTGTTTTTGTGATGGGAGTGGTGATGAGAGTGATGTTAATTTGGTTTTGGTTGAGACGAGAGGGAAACAATAACTCATAACAAACAAGTGAAGAGTAACTAAACAAGGGAGAACACAACTGTTGTTGGAAGAAAACCGAAGAGATATGTTGAGAAGTACATCGAAAGGAAAGAGTAACATTAAAGGGGAATAAGAGAGTGTTATGGAAAGAAATAAAGGCAACAGATGAGCTTAATAAGAAATTCGTTCATATATTACCGAGAATGGTCAAAACAAATTAAGATAAATAGGACAGAGATTTTAAAAAACTACCTGCATCGAATTTTGCAAGACCTACATAAGATTGGTCAAGAAGACTACTTTTGATAATAAACTTAGTAGTTTTTACAAAATTGTGGTTTGACTCTCTTTGGTTTTAAAATAATGGGACATGATTTATATAAGGCCGTCCAGTAGGCTCATCTGACATCTAAGCTTGCTGTCGAAAGGCATGATTGTGATTTGAAATTCATTCCTTGTCAATTTGTAAAAAGTAATCTTCTTAGTCGACCTTATGTAGGCCATGGAATTTTGACTCAAAGTCTGTTTCTGTTTTGCGATACAAAGTAAATGCTAAAGAAAAAAATCATTTCTAATAAGTTTTCAATATGTTTATTTTAAATTCATTTGGAATGATGATTTTCTTTGGCATCTCTCATACAAAAACAGATCATTATTTAATAGTTTTTAAACAACAACTAAATCAAAATTATCTCAAAAAATATTTAATAGAAACAATTGTCAATAACAATCTGTTTATATCTATTTATAACTTTTTCAATATTGACAGATATAATTCTTGAAGGTGTTCTATTCATAGAATGTCCATCCATTTTGACCAGAAAACGCCAGAAAAAGGTCGACTTACTATAGAATGTTCAAGTTAGAACTTCCGGATGAGCTGCAGAGCTGTATACAACCCTGATTGCAGAAAAGATATAACCTGCGGAAGCTTTATATTTAAAGAAGGTTAATGAATATCTTCTGTAGATAGATGACCTAAATGTTTTTTTAAAGGAAGCCCTTCTAATTATTATCAGCTGTCAGAAGTCTTGTGTTCACCAAATGACGTCTTCTAAAAGCGGAATACTTAATAAAGTCCTTCTATGATAGGGACTAAGATTACTAAAATTTCTCTCCCAATTCTGGAAGATGTTCTACAACTGAAAGGTATTCCGAGGAGGTTTTGTTTTATTTGAAGGACATTCCAAGTCCTGTATATGTAGAAAACATTAATTTTGTTACGTAAAAAACTTCTGGAAGCTATGTGGACCTTTGAAGGCCTTCCATAAATTGGAAAATAGTAAGTTTAGATCTTCTACAAGAGATAGATTTCTATGGTCTTCTGTATATGGACGATTGAAGGATCTACATGCTGAAAGTATTTTACCGATGAACGACCTTCGAAAGGTCTTCATATTGTAAAACCATTCATTTTTAGATGGATATATTGGAGACCTATAGGTGTCTACCACAAATTGAAAAGTTTTAACAGGTCTTCTACAGATTGAAAGTCTTTTGGAAGGTTTTCGTCAGAAAAAAAACCTACAGATAATATTCTATATGTGCAAGACTTTAAAAGTGTTCTACTGATGGAAAATATTCAAAAGGTAAACTCTTCTCAATATATCTTCGACAGGTTCTCAAAAATTTTTTGAAAGACTTTCGGAAGCCTAAGATTCACTTCATCAAAGGTCTTCTTTAGCTGGAAGATATTTGGAGGTCGATAGATTGATTTCATTTAAATTTTAATTTTTAAGATAAAGGACCTTTATCGATAGAAGCACCTGGAGTCTTCTACGGATACATGATTTTCGGAGAGATATTCTATGTTTTCAATGTCGGTTGGAAGAGAAAGAACACATAAGTCGTTGTCCACATATTTTCCTAATCATTTCAGGACATTTTTTTTCATAATCCTCTTTACCTTCCCTTCATGAGTTGAATTTTTGGATTTTTTCCACTTAATTTAAAGATTGATAGAATTTCTTCAATTTTAATCCGATTGAATTTAGGCGTATAACTACCGTCACAACTCATACGCCACATGTAACTTGGTTTATAAATCCGTTTTTATAATCAATTAATTTTTCTTTAAATATTCAAAAGGTAATCTCTTGTTAATATATCTTCGACAGGCCCTCAAAAATTTAGTGGTTTTTGAAAGTCTTCCAAAAGCTTAAGAATGACGTTCTCGAAGGCCTTCTTTAGATGGAAGATCTTTGGAGGTAGATAGATCGGTTTCTTTTAAATTTAGGTAAAGGTCCTGTATCGGTTGAAGCGCCTGGAGTCTTCTAAAGGTGCATGATTTTCGGGGGATATTCTATATGTAGAAGACTTTAGAATGGTCTTCCAACGAGGAAGGATTTTCAAACGCAAATTTCTTATGAAACACGTTTTAAAGACTTTTTCAAGGTGGAAAGTTCTCAAAGCGTCTGAGCCGTTTTTAGATAGACTTTTATAAAATGGAAGACAGTTAGAAGGTCCTCGGTGGATGGAAGGTCTTCCGAAGATGTGGAAAAAATAATGGTTCTTTGAAGTTTTTCTTCAGATAAAGACCTTTGGAAGGTTTCCCAAAGGTGAAATATATTTAGGAGGTCTTACGTATATGGGGATGGACTTCAGTTGTTCTAAACTGAAGACGCTTTGGAAGGAATTCAGTTGGTCTTCCATAAATGGGCGGTTTTAGAAGAATCTAAGAAAAATGGGAGGAGTTTAGAAGGCCTTTTAATGATAGGAATGCATTTTGAAAGTCTTCTTTAGAGTTAGAACCGAGATTCCACAGACCGAAGTCCTTTGGAAGATCTTTTATAGATAGAAAACTTTTAGAAAGTCTTCCAATGTTTGGAAGACATTTTGAAAGTCTTCTTTAGAGTAAGGATCTCTAGGCCTTTCACAGATGTGACGTCTTTGCGGAAAATTCCCCATATATAACTTCCAGCATTTCGAAGTTTTTGGCTACAATTTTCAAATGAAATGGGTCCTCTTGGAAGAAAAAGTTGCTACACGAAAATGTTGCCAGTTTAGGTTCCCGTTTCGACATAGGAACTAAATAGAGAAGAAAGGTGGCTAACATGCAATATTTTGAATCGTATATTGTCAGAAACCATCCTCGCGTTTAGATTTCGAGAGCCTTCCATAGATAGAAAATGTTTAGAAGGACTTTTGTAGAGACAATACCCTTGGAAAGTATTCTATAGATAGTCAACTTGTATGCGGGCTTCTTTGTGTCTTAAACCTTTAGAAGGATTTCTGCAAATGAAGTAATCCCTTCAGAATATGGATGACCTTCGGAAGGTCTTCCTCAGATGGATTAACTTTATAGTATCTTCTTTAGATGAAGCAACATTGGAAGCTCTTCTATAGAATTAAGGCCTATCAAAGGGCTTCCCTCAATAAAAAATTGATTTGATTTTATATTTTAAATTGTGAAGCGGTAGAACCGATCTCCATGTTAAGATATCGGGCTAGAAGATACAGACACTTACTGAAAAAATTACCTAATTTTTGATATTTTGAAGTTTTCAGCTACGATTTCCAAATCAAATGGGATCTCGTGGAAGGAAAATTCGCCTTTTAAAAGATTTGCCAGTTATGGTCATCATTTCGACAAAAGCCCCATATAGAGAGTCCGATCGATGTTGGATGATTTAAAGGCTACATCCAACTTAACTCAACCGGGAGTGTCTTCGAAAGGTTTCCCTCTGTAAAATATATTTTTTAATGTGATTAAATCTAAGGAAGGTCGCTAAAGAAGTCTCACATAGATGGAACCCCTTTTAAAGTTAATTTAAAAGTTTGAAGGTCTTTGGAAGGACTTCTATCGGTTGAATACTTCCTGTAAGATTTTCACGTACAACTTTCGAGTTCTAAAAGTAGGAGACATTTACGGATTCAAATCATAACAAGGGTTTCTCCAAATGGAGAACATTTAATTAGCCTTCTATTCCTAGGAAATTCGAAAGAACTCTTTTTACATGTTCTTCGTAATTTTAAATATTAATAGGGTGCGATGGAGACACAAGGTGTACTTCTATAAAATGAGTAGGCCTTATATGATAGGTTAACACGAAACGCAAAAGAAATTTGTTGTTGTTTTGTTTTTTTTTTTCATATTTTCTATTTTCCATATTTTCTCTTTTGACAAATGAACATAAGGAAACCAAATAAATAAAGGAGTTCATAGATGAATAATAATAAGCACCAATTTGTGTGTTTGCTGCTATTGTTATTTTTGTGGTTGTCTAAGGTGTTTATAAGGTTGTAGGCCACGTAAGGGGGCAGGGGGAAAGGGGGGTCTTGTTACTCTAAGATTTCACATTTCCTTAATAAAAAGGCAATGTGTATGTTTTTTGGTATTTCAAAAAAAAAAAAAAAAAAAAAAAAAAAAAAAAAAACGAGGGGGAATGAACATTTTGAAATGTGCTGTGCTTTTATTTCTTGTATTTGCTTTTGATAGACATGTGGTGATGTATGTTCAGGGTTTATTTCGTTCTTGTTTTTGTTGTTGTTGATATAATTCGGCTGGTTTATTGTTGACATTTAGTTAACCAAATAGTCGTGTAACCAATTTAATGTGACAATAACAGAAGAGTAAAGAAATAAAAAACGAGAATTCTTTATTGGAAAAAATGAGAACGAAAAACGGGAACAAAAAGAAGAAAACTGAAAAACCTTACATAAATAAGAGGAATATTAAAGAAAAAAATACAACGAAGTAAACGCCGCAATGTAGGCAAAGAAAATTCACTTGAGCGTGGTAATTTTTGTTCTTTGGGTTTTTGCCTTTTTCGACGGTTTGTTTGTTGAGTCATATTTCAAGGGTATTTGAACTCGTTTTCGATGTATTTCAATGTCTTCGTCGCTGTTACGTTGAATTGCTGAACAGTGATTCGAGGAGTAGTGCTTTTTGGGACACCTAGGTTTATATATGAGATGGAGAACTTAAAGAAGATTTTCCATATTTAGAATTACGGCAAGTGCTTAACATCTGTAGAAGTTTTTCAATTTTAAAAAAAGTAACTCTTGAAAGTGACTTATAGAGGAAACAATCCTTACATGTTTCCCATATTTAAATGCTTCATAGATGGTCTGTTATTTGAAGAAGACTTGTAAAAGGACTTCTATATCCCTAGAAGTTCATATACCTATAGAACCAAAATAGGAAACCTCTAAAATTTTTATATAAAACTTTTCTATGAGACCTATATATTTATGTCCTTTTTGGATTCAAAATTTGTTGCCTGTTATCTTAAATACGAGCGGATCGACGTTTTAGTATAAAAATTGGCCATATAACTCCCAAATATATAGGTACCGCCCGACGTAAGGTATTTTTTTAACTATATTTTTCAAATAAATTGGCTGTAAATTGGAATAAGGTATTCTTTGAATATCCTCTTTGAGGATAAAATTCATCCACGTAAAGACCTGCCCCACATAATGATACCGAAATACCAAAACCCTCGCTCCAACCCACTTTAAAGGCCACAGGTGTTTTTTTTTTTCATTTAAATTAGCTTTAATTTGACATTTTAGTTTTAGGGCTAGAATATACGAATGCTTTCTGCAGAATAATCTCCCTGGTATTTCGAAGTTTTTGGCTACAATTTACAAATGGAATGCGTTTTCGTGAAAGGATTATCTGCTACACGAAAATTTTGCCAGTTTATGTCCCCGTTTCGACAAAGGAACTAAATACAGGGTGAGATGAAAACACTGCAACCAACTTCAGACTGCTGTCATTTCTCAGTCACTCGTCCAACAGCTGTTAAAATTATTCCAGTGATAGGTCATTATATTGTTTACCAGCGTTCAAAGGCATTTGGTGAGAATTTGCCAGAAAAAAAGTTATTCGTAACGGAATACAAGCGTGATATGTGTTTTCTTTACATTTGGCTGGAAAACTACAAGTGGCTAGATCGGCTAATCGTTAGAGCACTCCAGCATTTAAATGTGAATAAATCTTTTGTGTCTCGTACCATCGCTTGTTACCGTGATAATACAACTGGTAGCGTAGCCCGACGTCAAGGAAGTGGACCGAAGGAAATAGCAACATCAGCAGAAATGGCCAAAAATAAAGAAGCGACTTGATCGAAACAGGCGACGCAGTGGCCGAAACGAGCATCGGCTCGTGAGCTGAACAAATCGTAATATTCCATTCGGCAAATATTGAAAAATGAGCTCGGGGTAAAGCCATTGCAATTCCAAAAAGTGCAAGAACTTATACCTCAACAAAAAGAAAATAGACTCAAAAGAACTAAAGAGTTGCTTCGCTTGGTCGAAAGTGGTGAAGTGCCGAATTTGTATTTTTCCGATGAGAAAACATTCGTTGTCCAGCAGTTTGTAAACAAACAAAATGATCGTGTTTATGTGCCAAAGTCGGCCAAGGTCAACTGAAAATGTGCACCTTCGGTTGGTGTGGGCCGCCATAACAGCCGATGGTCGCTCTCCGCTCGTGTTAATCGACCTTGGCATCAGAATAAATGCCGTATATTCAGCACGCTCCATCCAAGAATGGTTACTAGATAAGGCTCCTCGCTTTATTTCCAGAGCATTATGGCCACCAAAATCTGCGGATACTAATCCGTTGGAGCTAGGCTGGGAGATACGTATGCTTTTTGCAGAACATTCCACATATATATTTTGCATCGTTAATTGTTAGAACCTGTCCTCGCATTCAGATTTCGGGTAAGAAGATAAAAAACCTTCCTGAAGAAGTCACATATAGATCCACAACGTGGTTTATATATTGTTGCCTCCTAATTTTCTGAATTTTTGTGTTTCGGCCAAAATTTCTAAATATATGAGTTTCGTGAAAGAGAAGCCTCATATAGAGCGTCCGGTCGACATTGTATGGTTTGAAGGTTTCGATTTTTTAATTCGTAGAGCCCATCTTTGTGTTTGGATTTCGGGTACTACCTACTTCCACACACTTCCTAGAAAAATTTTTTTTTTTAGGTCTACCAATTGTTTTGAAGTTTTCGGCCACAATTTCGAATCAAAATGGGTTTTTGTGGTAGGATATTTCTCCTTATTTTTATAAAAAATTGAAATATCCGTCCTTGTATTCAGATAAGCTTCATTCGGAGTGTGCGGTCATAGTTGGCTAAACTCAACTAGGATTGTTTATATTTTCATATTTTGTGTTGTTATTTGGTAGGATCGATCTTTACGTTCAGATTTTCGGTTAGAAGATACATACCGTTTCTGCATAAAATTCGTTAAAAATTTGAATTTTGGTATTTTTAAGTATTAGGTCAACATTTTTGTTGAAAAAAAAATTCGCCTCTTAAAAAAATGGTCGGTTTTGGTTATCGTTTTGACACAAGCCCTATATATAGGGTCCTATCGAGATTGTATGGTATGAAGGCTACATCAAACTTATTTAAACCGAGGTTGAATATGATTTGATATTTTGAATCGTTAATTGGTAGAATCCATCCATGTCAAAAAGTCTAGGTTTTTTATATACCCCTGACATAATCATAAACAATAAATATTGGTGTTTTGGAAGTCCTATCCAGATACAAGGGGAATGGTATAGGCTCCCTTCGATATATTTACTTCTCCGACAGTTTTTTATACATTTTCCATGGCAAAGTTAAATTTTTTGCTAGTTCAACCCATTCGAAATTGATTGGACTTGAAGTTTTGGGTACGTCTCTGGGATTTGCCATATTTTCCTATTGAATAAGTTGCAAATTCGGGTTCATAATGCGTAGAAGACTATCTCTCACAGATCATTTTAAAAGAGTTTGGCATATAATATATTTCAGGATAACCTTAGATTTAAATGAAGACTCCGATGTAGCAAGAGAGGGCGATCCTCCGGCAAAATGTAACATTACTGAACCTTTTACGTAAAAACCCTAATTTTTGGCTATTGGTATCTCCGGATATGCCAGTTAAGATCAATTTAAATGTAAATTCAGAAAGGGTTAATAATAATGAAGTGAGAGAGAAAAATATGAAGCAAGAGAGGAAGAGAGTTTAAACGTTAAGAAAATATAAGACAGGGGTTAGAATGTCTTGAATTTTCCTCCAGTTTACTCTCTCTTCCTTTTTAACTTGTTAAATTTAAATTTATCTTCACGGTCATCGATTTTTCGTATTGTTCTGAAAATTTATCAAGTCCACTGTAAAAAAATGAAGGTCTAGGGTAGTAGCTTGCGAATATTTGGACTTTATAGACAAAATAGCGGACTTAGGATTGTTTTGAATTTTCTGAAAATCTATAGGAATAAAGCCGAGTTGAGATGGAGCTCAAATGAAAAGTTTCGGGGAGTACTTTCCCAACATATTAACCTTATGGGCAAGAAAAAGTTCAGACTTGGGTTTCGGGCTTTCATTTGAGCCCCGCTTTATTCTTGGTTTCTGTACAGAGGCCTCTATTATCTGTAATATCCCCAAAGTTGAGAGATACATTTTAAGAACATTTAAAAAATCCCTAGAACCGAAATTATATGTGCCTAAAAGATCCATATATTCAGAAATGCCTTTAATTTCCACCTGTCTCCACTCTCTCTCCCTATTTCTTAACCCGTTTTGAAGTTTAAAATTAAATTTAAAATTATTTTCAAGGACATATTGTTTACTTGTCCATATGCAAGTCAGTAATTTATCAAGGAGAGACGGGATTTTAACGAAGAGGAGTTCCCTCTCACCAAGGTTTAAAATAATAATTAATTTTTCTTATATTTCGTCCTTTGATTAAGAAAATCCAAAAGAACTGCTCTTATTTTCTCAATCAAAAAAATATTAAATTTTTATTAGATGTTAAAATTACTAAAAAAATGTCCCCAAAATTTTTTCTATGACAAATTGCCAGGACATTTTCTGGAAACTCAATAACACTGGCAAATTTCAAATGAAATGTGTGTGGACAATCAAAATTCTCCCTCAGGAATCCCACGTTGCCATGATATGATATTTTAAAGGAAAAAAAGTGAAATATGTTTTTCCTGAATTCAGAAAAAGCCCCTAAGGACTACCCAGTAGGGTTGCTCCCATACATATGTGCTCACTCGAATCACTGTTCATCTCCTCCATCATCATCATCATCATCCTCGTCGGCATCCTCGTCATCCATACATCCGTCTAGGCTTGTTGTTTGCTGGAATGTGCGTATAACACAAAGCAAATCGTTGTGATTGCTGCTGCCTGCCTGACTGCTGGATCACCCTGAAGGAATTTCAATTATTTTTGCTGATTGTTCAAACTTTCCAAACGAATTCATTCAAAGGCAAACGGAAAAAAAAATCGAAAGTTGGCAAGGCGTATCAAACGTAAAACAGGAGTTGTGTTTGTACAACTGTTTTTGTTTTTCCATTTTTTTTGGTGTTGTAGGGTCTCTCCAAAATCTCCATGACGAGAGAGAGGAGTAAAGGTTGAATAGATGATTGGTTTGAAGGTTTGAATGTGGAATGATGGAGATGTGACTACCACAATTTGCTTCTTGACTTTTGACTAGGAAATCTTATGCTGTTGAATAAAAGTCGAAGGAACTTAAGTCATTCCATCACCATGCCAGAGATCAGAAGCAACAACAACTACAACATCATTTTCAAATGACATGGGTTGTTGCCTGATTAACTGGTTGCATGGATGGATGGATGGATAGATGAATGGATAAGTTCGTTTCAACTTCTTGTCTTGTTCCATGGATGAGTGTATGATGTGTAAGTGTATGGGTTGGGTTTTGGTTTGTTTTTTCATGTCTCTTATGCTATTTTGCTTTGTTCTACCTGATGTGAATGCTGGCCATTGCAAACGCCTCCACTGCAGACACCAGTGCCGGGAACCTTGAGCTGTTCATGTTTGTAGTCCGGCTGATAGGGCAGGAGCATACGGATTTTGCCCCAGCGATTAAAGAATAAGGCTATCGCCCCAGCCCACACCATCAAAACGATGAGGACAATGCCAATTTCGACACCTCGTATCTAAAGTGAAGGATTATGGAAAAAACGGATGAAAATGAAAGGAAGAGAAAGAAAGAAAAAACATTAAAAACTTCAGGATATTATGGGTCTATGGTGATGTATGCTTTTTCTAAAATCCATATTTCATATTTCCAATTAAAAAATCTCAATTTCTGGGGGAGGAGTGGGGGGAAATAACGTTTACTCACCGTTGGCAATTCCCTGTGCTGGCCATGTGATAATGAATTGGTGGCCGTTGAAGTAACGCCATCCTCATTGTAGGCACTGCCACTACCATTCCCGCTGCTGCTGCCACGATTAACCCCGCTGCCGCCTATTGAGTTTGATGAACCTGCCGGGCCACCCAGGCCTCCATCTCCCCCTCCACTGTCTTGCTGGGCATAGGGTTTGGGTGGTAAATCTAAACATATGTTCGGCATTAAATGTTAAAGAAAAATTCATGCATCAACAAAGGCTTATATAAACAGGCAGACAGGTCAAAAACAGAAAACACACACACTCTTTCTCTCACACACACAGCAAGTCCTGTAAAAAATGAGTGTGTTTGATATATTACTGGCTTATATTGTGGCTTTTTAATATGTTAGCCTCACACTCTCTCTCTCTCTCTCGCTGTATGTGTGCAGGAAATTTATTATTCAAAAGGATTCATTATATTAATGACCATACAACAACAGAAACAACAACAACATATACGACTGTGTGACCAGCCATTTAATATTTGTCTGTGTTGTTTGCTATTTAGCCAGCTTGTTGTCTGGTCATATTTTTTTGGACAATTACGTCGCTCTCTTTATTTTGGTGTTTTCTCTCTCGCTCTCACGCTCTCTTTGTAATACTTGCCTAATGTCCTAAAGATAACTTGACGGCTGCGATACTTCTTGCCCAGCCAGACAGCGGATACAACAATCGAATACTGCGTCCCCGGCGTCAGACGATCCAGTATGATGGCCTCACTGTTGCCGGCCACATCCTGCATAACCCTGTAACTTAAATTAATTCAATTTACCACTCAGGGCTTTTCAACTACGTACGCGTTTTAAAACAAAAATGATTTAGTGGTTGGGGATGTTATTTTGGGGGGAGAGGATTTTGGGGTTGAATTTGTGTTAGTATGTGTGTTTTTTAACAAACCAAACAAACTTTGAACTCCTCCATTAAAAACCAATCAATCATGCAAAATGTCATATCATCAAACTTTTAAATGTTGTCTTCCAAATTATTGTGAAAATTATTGTTGGGATGTTACTAAATGTTCAAATACAAATATTTGAAATATTTGCGATATTTGAGTTCGGGAATCGTTGACGTATACGTTGTGACATTACTTATACGCCTTACTTCAAATTTTGATATAAATGTCATGAAACACAATTGAAACGGTAAATGAGTTGAGAATTTATTTCTAATGCTATTCAATTCCGAAAACGCATTTTTTGTGTATTCGTTAGCTTCAAAATTCGAACTATGGCATTTATGAATTTTAGATACATAAACGCAAAAGAGGTGACTGTGGAACTGTTCCACTTAGTACCTTTATTTTTTGTTTAATTTTGGACAGAAGGAAGCATTTTACCATAAAATTACTCCATAATTTTCCATTGAAGGACCATATATTAACTCCGTTATATTATTATATCAGAATAATGGGAAAAATTCTTGAAATCGATTTAAAAAAAAAAGTAAAAAAGCTGTAAGTTCGAACTGGCCGAACTTCGAAAACCCTCCACCATTTGGAACGAATTTGACAATTTTCAAAAACATAAAAATTCGTTAAAAATTCTTTTTAAATCTTAAAAATACCGAATGTAGCTGTTATATTAGGATCTATACGACGACATGGACCTGCAGAGGTAACGTTTGTCATTAGCCATTGCAATATTCAAATGCAAAATTAACAAAAAAAAAAAAATGGGTGGAAAATGTCGCTAAAATCATCAAAATTCCGTTATATGGGGCTATACGAAGACGCAGACCTGCACAGACAATTTTCTGTCATAGGCATTTCGAACTTCAAATACCAAATTTAAAACAATTCCGGTGAATAATGTCGCTAAAATTATCAAAATACAGAAAATCGGGACTTACCGTTATATGGGGGCTATACAAAGACGCGGACCTGCACAGTCAATTTTCTGTCTTAGGCTGTAGTATTCATTTCGAAATTTAAGTTTCAAATTTGGGACAATTCCGGTAAATAATGTCGCTAAAATCATCAAAATACCGAATATCGGGAGGTACCTTTATATGGGGGCTATACGAAGTCGTGGTCCTACACATATAATTTTTTTGTCTTAGGTTGTAGTGTCCATTACGAACTTCAAATACCAAATTTGAAATAATTCCGGTGAATAATGTCACTAAAATCACAAAAATACCGAATATCGGGAGGTACCGTTATATGGGGGCTATACGAAGACCTGCATCTGCACAGACAATTTTCTCTCATAGGCTTTAGCATCCATTACGAACATCAAATACAAAATTTGAAACAATTCCGGTGAATAATGTCGCTAAAATCAAAAAAGTTCCGAATATCGGGAGGTATAGATGCATTTGTATTATTTTGCACTTTTCGTATAATCTTAGTACTCGCATAATTTGGTACAACATTTCACGGTTGCAGCCCTATCCCTCCAACAAATAACAAATGTAGTACTTTTCGAACTCATCCATATCTCAACCTTAAATACCACACTTCAAGATTTCAGCTCCTTCATTTCACCCTTTACCAAATTTAGTACTATTTAGTACAATTTTAGTACGCATATCCAAAACCATCTCATTCTCTCCAATGCAGACACCAACAGTCAAATTTTATTCCTTCACCCAATAACAAATTTAGTACCATTTAGTACTTTGGTAAATTCGCCGCCATATCTCAGTTCCAAAATACCCAAAAAACCTCGACATAAAATTTCAGGATTTCAGCTTATTCATTTCCCTCATTGCCAAATTTAGTGCCATTAAGTACAATTAAAGTATACATGTTCAAAACCAGCTCCTTCTCTCAACCGCAAATGCCAACGGTGGCATCCATCTCAAATTTCAGGATTTCAGCTCTCTTCCTTCATCCAATGCAAAATTTAGTACTTCGAGTGCAATAATAGTTTACATTCCCAAAACCACCTCCATATCTCAATTCAACATACCAAAAACAATCCTTAATATCAGCCCCATCCCACACACATTTTATACCAAATTTAGTACCATTTAGTACTTTTCGTACAAATAAAAGATACATTTCCAAGCCACCTAGAAATCTAAAACACAAATACCATCAGTAATCTAAATATTAAATTTCAGAACTTTGTTGTTGCAAAATGGTCTGGCTTAATCCCTTTATTGTTGTTTTTATAAAAACAACGTTTGTTTATTAGTGGAGAACGATGGTAATGTTTACCAGGGGGTAAGGCAGGGAATACCTAGGTTTCGGAAAGAGCCACCAATCCTCATCAGTTCCCTAGTTTTTTGTCTGGGATATTCTCCCCAGAAGTTATTAAAAAAAAACATTTTTCCACAACAAAATACTATGGTATCCCGAATAAACAACAACAACACTGTTCTATTTCAGAACTTTTATTTTTATCCCTTCACTCAATACCAAATATGGTACCATTCAGTGTTTTTCGTACAATTTTAGTACACATTTCCGAAACCACCTACATATGTTCAGGCTACATATGAATTGCGTCTTTAATACAAAATTTTACATTTCAGGGACTATCTGCTCACACATACCAAATTGTACCACATTCAGTACCATTTACCACTTTTCGTGCACTTGTAGTACACATTTCTCTTAACCACTGCCTTGTCACAAACCAACCATAATAAAATTTAAAAATTCCAGTTTCATCCATTCACCCTAAACCAAACAGTTCCGAATTTAGTACCATTTAGTATAGGCCGCACACTTAGTACACATATCCAAAATCACCTTCATAAATCACTTCTTCTTCTCATTACTTACTTCCAAACGTGATTCTCATACCAAATATCTAGTTTTTGGCTCTATCGGTTCACATAATACCAAATGATACAATTTTTGGAAGTTTAGTACCATTTTAGAATCTATCGTAACCTTATTGTTCGAATTTCCAAAAAAAACCCTTTGGTAAATCCAGTCTGAACTCCATCAGTTACTTCCATTTCCTCATTTCTCATTATTCTGTTTGTCCAAGACAAAGTATTCAATTGTTAGTATATTTTAGGACTTTTCGTACCATTTTGTACGAATTTCCAAAAACCTAACATTATCACAGGCCTGCGCACCAAGACTAACCCTCATGCCAAATTTCAAGATTCCAATTTCAGCCGTTTAATCTGGGCGTTGATTCTCGATGCGGTCGGTTATTTCACTACTCTTTTATATGTACAGATAGATGTGCAAATTTTAAATCGTTCACATAATAACAAATGGTTACAAATTTTTATACCTCCACAATATTCCACGAAATACTCATGTCTGATCCAACAAAGTATATATATTCTTGATCAGCGTAAAATTCTAAGTCGATTTAGCCATGTCCGTCTCTCTGTCTGTTGTAATCACGCTATCTTTCGAACGAATTGAGATAGAAGGCTAAAATTTTGCACACATTTTTATTTTTCAAGTTGGCAGGTTGAGTTCGTAAATGGGCCATGTAGGTCCACGTTTTCATATAGCCCCCATATAACGGTACCTCCCGATATTCGGTATTTTGATGATTTTAGCGACATTATTCACCGGAATTGTTTCAAATTTGGTATTTGAAGTTCGAAATGGATACTACAGCCTAAGACAGAAAACTGTCTGTGCAGGTCCACGTCTTCGTATAGCCCACATATAACGGTACCTCCCGATATTCGGTATTTTGATGATTTTAGCGACATTATTCACCGGAATTGTTTAAAATTTGGTAAATGAAGTTCGTAATGGATAGTACAGCCTAAGACAGAAAATTGTCTGTGCAGGTCCACGTCTTCGTATATAACGGTACCTCCCTATATTCGGTATTTTGACGAGTTTTTGTACAATAGCCACCGAAAATGTTTGAGACGCGTATTTGAAGTTCGTAATGAATGCTTCAGCCAATGTAAAAAATGTTCTATGCAGGTTCAGGTCTTCGCACAGCTCCGATATAACGCTACCTCCCCATATACGATATTTTGATACAGAATTTTAAGATTCTAGCTTCAGTTGTTCTCTATCGACGTTGGTCAAGCACTCAAGCAGTCACTCGCAAATCACTCTATTATTTTGCAATATAGGTGGCCAGATTCTGGATAACCTTTAGTACGTATTTTGGATGTCCATTCTATATTTTAGGACTCTAGCTTTACTCGTTAAACTCCAAATTACAGAATTCTGTACAATTTAGGACTTCTTTCTTCCGAAAGTAATAAAACAGTTTAATCAAAGTTCAATCTAGGAATATAAGAAAAATAGTGTCCTCACTCATCTATAGAAGACTTTTCCATAGGAGGCAAAAAGTTAAGGGAGATATTTGTTATTTTTTTTTTCAATTTTTCGCTCAACAAACTTTTATCTGCTCATTATTCGCTTCCTTATAACTTTTACAATCAGCTTTTATGTTTTCTGTCAAGTTCATTACGAACTTTTAATTTGTCTGGTCGTACAGATTCAATTATAGAACCTAACTTTTGTCGACTACTTTTTACCAAAAAAAATATTTTCATATCATTAAAAAATGCTTACGGCTTTCTAATTTTTAAATTTTCTGCTTGTCATTCCATTCCACCTAATACTAACTAACTTTGCTTTTAGCTTTGACAGGTTGTATTTGACGGGGGCAATGTAATGCACAATATTTTTAACGATTTGTAACACCTGACAATGAAGGAGAGGGCTAGAGCCTACCATTCTACTCCACAACTGCTGGCAAGACAAATTTCAAGGAAAACCAAAAAGAAGTAGTCACCTTCCTCATCATCATCATCATCATCGACGTCGTCATAATTTTGGTTCATATTTCATTTTTGGAAA